CTTGACCGTCTTGTTGAAACTTTTCATAATCAATATTGTCATAGTTCCTGTATTGCATATATTTTTCTTTATATTCGGTAATGGGTATATTAAAATTTCCAAATATTAAACAGTGATCTGATATAGTCTCAGAAATATTAAAAGAGTGACTACTTTGGCAGTAAAGATTATTGTCGGTAATTATACAGTCAATTAGTGTAGATGCGTTCGTGTTCATATCTATCCGCGTAGGTTCCGTAATATGCTGAGTTAGATTAAAGGTATTAAGCAGTTCAATCATTTTTAATTTAGTTCTTGAGTTTTTTAATAAATCGATATTAAAATCTCCAGTTAGAATAATGTGGTTATAATACGGAACAGTAGCAGATAACATGTTTTCTAGAGTGTCAAAAAAATGCTCTAAATTCGACGAAGGAGGTCGATATAAACTCACAAATAGCAAAGTTTTCTTATTTAGGTTGATACGTACGCCAACATATTCACAACTCTCAGAGGTTATTCCAAGATCCACAATTTGACTACTAATATGTTTCCTTACATAGGCTCCCACGCCGCCACCCCTGGCCCCACGATCCTTGCGTATTAGATTATATCCCTCAAGATTAAAAGAACTTGAATCCCAGTCAGATGTTAACCAGGTTTCTGACAGTCCTAGTATGTCAAAGTTGCAATCATAAATATAATTAGCGAACTCGTCAAACCCTGTATTGAGTGATCGAACATTTAGATGAGCAGTGACAAGGCTCTTAGTTTTGACAATTTTGGAATTATGGCCTACCTGCGCAATATTATCACCTAATATCATTGAGATGTCGCAACCCAGTACCCACGCCAGTGCCTAGCTCCCATCGATCACACCCTCTCAGATTATAGCAAACATACATGCCCATCAAAAGCAGTATCAGGAATGTTTAGCCGTAAAGTACAATTTATATTATTCATTACCCAACTTATATAAGATGAAAGAAGATTTTATAGAAAAAATACAATAAGTCACAGCTATATCTCGCCGCCTACTATAATCAAATAAAACTTACATACAAAATTTCGTGTTCATTAGCTTAGTAATTGAAGCATCAATAGAGAATAAAAAATTAAAGTTCAATAATTCATAGATATATTCACCCGCATACTAGAATAGGCAGACTTGAAATGCTTATATCAAAACGAAATTAATATACACTTTCCCTCAAAAAATAGGTATTTTCAATAGAAAACAAAAGTATAAGCAATAATTCCCAACCATATCTAATACGTATAACAATTGCTAGAAAGCCAATACATTAAAATATGAAAAACAAAGTAATATTATGCAGTTTCTTTAAAAAATAGAAGCATTCAAAACAACGAATTATACAATACGCTTATTATGATAACTAGAAGAACAACTCCTTAAAGAAAAAATTAAATATAAATGTTTTTTTTTAGATATTCAAATATCTATAATATCCACACATTTTTTTAGATATTGAATTTGGTATAGTGAATTGATATATAAATTAGTTAATTGAAAGAAAATCAAAGACAGTACCTTGAGAAATTAGTCAACGAGGTATCACACTGAACTAGGCTTTTCCAATCAGCTCACTGAGTTTTTCCTGAGAAAAGACAACCACCTGCACACCTTCACACAGAACAATCACCTTCCCCGATCTTGTCCAGCAGTGATTTCGAAAGTGCCCACGGGCAACTTTAAATAGTTTTAAATTCTCGGCCGTAAGCAATTCAGTAAACAAGACATTTGAACCTTTGAGCAGTTTTTTGCTATAAAATATTTGATCTCGAAGCCATCGACAACAAAATGAAACTAAAATAGGTCTTGGTTTTTTGTCTCTCGTATTAGTGGTACCCAAACGATAACAATAATTTATATCGTTTTTTTGCACATTTATATTGATTTTGGAATGCATTAGATCGCATATGGCCTGATAGATGTCAGGTGAGTCCTCGTTCACACCGTGCACCAGAATATTATTGTTGTTTGTAGCGACCTCTATCTTTATTTGATTCATATCCTGCCTTAAAGAGTCCAATGACGTCATTACAGTTTTTTCGAATAATGAGAATTTTTCGGATAACTTCAGTAAATCGCCATTTAAGACATTGTCTTCGCTGGCACTTGTCCTTGCCATGGATTTTTCTTGTAAAACGTTCCGGAAGTCATTAAGGTCAGTCTTAAACTTGGCAGCCATTTCTTCCATGCGCTGGTTCAATATTTGAAATTCTCCCACCTGCTTTTTAGAGGAGTCCTCACTTTTGCCTCCACCTCTGGTCATCATTGCACTACTCTTGATCACGAATATGACACTTTTTCTATTTTTAATAATAATTACAGGTACTATAATTGTAAATTAATACGACTGCCGCTAGCACATAACCTACTCGGTACGCATGCTATATAATATACCTCAGAACATCGTTCTGAAATCGATACCTTTGTTTCACACCTCTAAACATTACCGTGCATTAACTAGTCACACAAGTAGGAAACCGTAAAATTAAACACAATTAAACGGTTGAAGCTTTTGCCATTACTGCGTCGCGTGTATTTTCCCTAAAGCTTTCCACTTTTAATTGTTTGACCTCAAGAGAACGCGGTTGTGGTACTTTTATCATCCTGTTTCACCTCTGCATAGCTTCTGTTTAGGCTTGCAGACGTATAATACTAACGCACGCTCTATTCTTTATATTATATGCGCTAATGAAATATGAGGTTAAATAATTAGGTAGCGAAATATAATATGAAGCACGAACGAGGAGGTGGAGCGAGTGTAACTAAATAAAGCTTCGAATTTTGTTATCGGCGAGACGGGAGGATCGTTTAACTTAATTAAGCAATTTAATTAAATTCAGAAAACTCGGCGCGCACATGTGGAATAATTTCACGTGATAAATTATTATAGAAAAAGGCACGCAAATGTTTGTTTAATATTAAAACCCTGCTCTTTCTGACGGTAAAAAAATATGCCTGCACCAGACATTATAATATACACTAACCCACAGGAAAAACACAGCCCAAAATTTTCATGTATTTTAAACTTCAACATATATTGTTCTAGTCGGCCGATTTTATTTTTTTAGGCAATTTGTAATTTGATTATTATTTCACTATTTAGCCTGTTTTTAATTTAGAAATTAAAGTCTCATCTGTCTATTATACGAGGGAAAACGAAATAATGTTAATATTTTGGTGGAGGTTTGAAACACTCTGTGGAACTGTTTACAAAAATAAGGAAATTAAAAACCACTTTATTCCTAATGTGCATCTTTTCTCGACAGTTTGTTTTCGAAGGAGACAGTAGGTCTGTTCTCAGAAGAATCCCTGACTAGTCAGCACGTTTCTCATTGGTTAAAATGCGTAGAAACCAGACTAACAATCAGGTTGTGGTAGTATGTTATGGGATTCTTCTGAGAACAGACCTATAGTAAACGCCACGAATGTTTGGGAGTGATTCATCGCTTGATGAAGTTAGAATCGACACGCGCGCTATCATTTTTACATTTAAAACGTAAATTTTTACCGCAGACGTAGGTTTTTAAAGGCCCGGTTTAATCATCTGCCTACGCTCCTCCTACTTATTCTAAAATGTTAGCGTGAATGATAAAGACGATACTATATCGCGTTTCTTTGACTGATTCGTTTTTGTGCGTCAGTCCATTGGTGTGCTCGCAGTGCGACCAATGGGGCATTCCAGTTTATATTTATAACCAAATATATATTTTGACAAGACTTTGACAGTTAAAACAACAAATTACAACAGATTATATATTGATTATTATATGACTTAAAACACCACGGCACTGGAATTCAGTTTTATGTGACCTTGAACAGATTAGTTCACATGGTAGCGACCGATGAATCACTCCCAAACATTCGTGGCGTTTACTATAGTAACGATTAATAACAACTTTATGCATTATACAGGGTGGTCCGAACTGTATTCCGGAAACTTTGGCAGCATATTTTGCAGATAAAAATAAGTAAAAAAGTTCGTATAAATGTATGTCTTAAACTGCTTAGTTTCGGAGATACAGGGTGTAGAAATTTCATTTTTATTTCGATATTTTCCAAATAATTTCTGCAGTAACGTCAATATTTGGATAAAAATTGGTGCCTGGGAGTTTTTTGACATGAGAAATTTGATTTTGATGACTCCTACTAGTAGAGGGCGCCACGTACATATTTTTTAACTAGTTTGAAGAGTAATAACTTTTCGTCCGTACCTGTATAAAACTAGTGAGTAAAAAATATACATTTACGACGTTTTTTACGTAAAAAATGTCTCTTGGTAAAAATCGCTACGAGTATTGGTTTTCGAGATATTTGGAATCGAAATTATCAATACCTGTCATCGACATAAATTAAACATGTTGACTAAATAGTTATTAGACTGACATAAATTTGAAAGTTTTTGTGACCAAAAGTTCAACAGAAACTGTTTTATCATCATTTTTTTGCAGAAAAATTTATGATTAATTTAAAAAAAATAAAAATTTCCCAAATTTATTATTTCAGTGAAATAACTATCTACTCAACGTATTTATTTTTTGTCAATAATGACATGTATTGACTCTTTCCATTCTAAATATCGTGAGAACGGTTGTTCGTAGTGATTTTTACAAAGATATATTTTTTTTACGTAAAAAGTCACAGAGATGTATATTTTTTCCCTCGGTAGTTTTATACAGGTACGGACAAAAAGTTATTACGCTTCAAAACAGTTAAAACACACGTAGGTGGCGCCCTCTACCAGTAGGAGTCATATTGACATCGAAATCAAATTTCTCATGTCAAAACACTTCTAGACACCAATTTTCATCCAAATATTGACGTTACTTCAGAAATTATTTGGAAAAAATTGAAATAAAAATGAAATTTCTACACCCTGTATCTCTGAAACTAAGCATTTTGAGGACATACATTTATACGAACTTTTTCACTTATTTTTATCTGCAAAATAATCGCCTATGCACAAGAAAAGTGACACAATTAAAAATTTTCACTTTTTCGTTTTTTTGCATAAAACATACCTAAAAGGTCAAAATTCTTATCTACAAAAACGACAGAAATGATACTCAACAAACAACCACCAGAGGTCACATGTGTCACTTTGGTGCGCGTGCCAAACTGAGCAGGTCTGATCACGAAAAACGGCTCAGTCAGTTAACTACCGACTGTTGTGCGGAAAGCTTTGCGAGTTTTTCTGCAAAATCGGCACATTTCAAAATAAATTTTAATTTTGTTTGGGTATATGTCAAGAAAAGTGACAGATTTGGTTTTGTGACGCTTTTGATGAAAAAGTAAGTATTGCTTTAATAAAATGTTTATCTAATAAGCGTATTTTTTTGTGTTATGCCTTTTTTCTTGATAAAACTTTATAATTTTTATGAACAGTTTTAAGTTTGTGTCAGTTTTCCTGATAATAAACGCTTAATTTCTATACCTTCTTTTCGAGTTGTGACACTTTTCCTGATAAATTAGTACAAAATGTCAGAAAGATCCAAGCTAATTTTAAAACTGGCCAAAAACAGTCGAGTAATCAATGGCAGTGAATGGGTATTTATACCTTTAAATTCGTCAGAAAACGATCAAGGTGGGTATTATTTTAATATTATATTTCCATTTTAAGCATTTTTGTACTAGTTTATTTAAATTAATTTTTTACAGGTTTTTCGGAGAATTATATGAACATGGATGGTCCACGAGTTTCCGACTCTAGTTTGAATTCAGATTTTCAGTTGAATAATATTGAAACCGCTAGTGTTTCACAAATAGAGCCGAGTCAAAATGAAGCCATTTCTATTTCTATAGAGTCTGAAATCACAGGAGATCAAGGTATTTTTTCTTAACAATAATAAAAAAGATTACATCTCTTCTTTGGTGTTTTGCTATTTGGATAATAATTACAGAAACCTCTAAGAATACGTCGACCATCAATAATTGCCCTATAGATGACATAACTGCTTGTGTTCCTAAAAAACTACCTGTTCCAAATCAACCATTTTTCGTCTTAGGTACTCAAATCACAGAATAAGAAGGTGCGTTTTGTTTACTTTACAACAATAACATCTTAATTATTATTGTTGCAATTTCTGAAAGCAATAAAATATTTTTAATAGTATTGTTATAATAGGTACAGAGATTTCTAACGAGGCCTCAACAATGGATTGCTCTGCGGCAAGTCTGTTTAATAATACAGAAATCGCATGCACTGCTGAAAGCTCGCCAATTTTAAAGGAAGGACCGATCTATGTTCCTGACCAATATGTCACCCTTATTAGAACCGCGAAGAAGACAGGTCAACCGTATGCAGTAGAGGAGTTAAACCACGAAAGTTTTTTCGATTTAAAGGACCTTGCCAAATTGGGATTTAATAACCTCAAAACGTCGACCAACGTGCCTTTAAAAATTGGCGACTTAAGAATTATTGTAAAATTTGTTAAGAACCAAAACAAATTATTTTTCAAAAATTCTTTTGAAGAAAAAGAGTTTCAAACAGCCGAAATAAAAACACCCCGCAGCAATAGAAGCGATCAATTAGTTTTACACCAGTTGTATGCAACTAAACCCTCCTTGAATGACAAAAAAAAGGAAAGTATTTTAGGATTATTTAAAAAAAATGTTGTACCAAAGTGCTATTTTAATTTTTTTAACAGTCTTTAAAGTTTTTGTTAGGTTAAGCAAACAGTACCTGAAGTTGTCTGAGAGTCTGATTCTTGTTACCTACTGTTTTTTACTATTTATATAGTTGTCATTTAAATCATACTTTTAAGTAGTTTAATATTGTTTTATTTAACCAGTTTGTTGTTTTCAGAATTCGTTTTTTATGTTTATATGAATAAAATAAAGTTTTATTAAATATTGTTTGGATAGTTATAATTACAAAAACAACTATTAGTTAATCTGGAAAAGTGACATAAATTCACAAATAAGCATCTAAATCTAAATGAAAAAAAAGATAAATTCTAAAAAAATAGCAGGTTTTATAATCAAAAGGTTACTTTAATATCTACGACTTCTATATGTAACGTAATTATAAAATTTACAGTTTAATACCAGCTAAAAGTCTTGCTAAAACTTTAAAGCATTCTCCTGAAAATTTTGATTTTTTTAGTTGTGTCACTTTTCTTGTGCATAGGCGATATGCTGCCGAAGTTTCCGGAATACAGTTCGGACCACTCTGTATATGCATGCCTTGGCTTGTTATACAAATCAACACATCTATGAAATAACGCTTAATGTTTTTGTAATGTGTCTAAGCAAAGTCATGTTATAATTTTATTAGAATATAGAATGTTTAGAAGAGGAGTTAATCACCGCGACCTTACAGATCTATTGTGTGTTCCCCTTTCTTGAGTTAAAACGAGTTATAACTCATCACTCATTCAGGGCTTTAATAAAAGCCAGTATCTGAGACGGCTCCACAGAGGCCAGCTCTCCATTCTCGACATCAGCCGTACCAAAGTTCATGGCACGAACGGTCATCGTCTCTGCGCACTATAAGATGTTCTGGTGTTTCCCCATTTCCCCACAAAATCTGCATTCGCCGTTGTTTCTCAGCTTCAGCTTACTGAGGTGTTCGTTGAGGAGACAGTGTCCTGTCAGAAACCCCATGAAAATTCGAAGATTGTTTTTACTTAAATCAAGGAAAATCTTTCATTTTTCTCAGCCGTAAGTTCTGAGAAACTTTTTCGAGTGTCTTAGACCGTTCGAGGATACCCATTCTATAATTATTAGGTAGTTCCTCTAAGAGATATAGTTTTAAATTCAGAAATTGATCTCTAGCATTGTCATTTATATCAAGAATACAATCCTTGCTCTCAAAGCTGTCGGAGATATATCCATATTCCTTCTAGCGGGTTGGTATTGCCCCCTCTATTTCTTCCAACTGATTGACAACGCCTTCCCATACTTAAAATTAAGTTTTGTACATAAAGTTCGGAAACGCCATTCCATTCCTCTATAAGTACTTCGGACAACTGCCCTAAAATCTGTGGTCGGTTAATTCTGCTTCTAACGGCTCGTCCGAGTTGATCCCACATGTGTTCGATTGGATTAAGATTAGGCGACCTTGCTGGCCAAATCATTATTTTAATATCTGTGTTTTTCAAGTATTTTTTGACAATGCCCGCCATGTGTGGGCTAGCATTATCATGCATTAGGAATGCCCCGCCAATGAATGGCGCAAAAGAAATTACATGGTCTTCAAGAATGTCTGTAACGTACATTTCAGAATTCAATATGCGGTTGCGGATAACGTGCAATTCAGTGCGTGCTTAAATATTAATACCTCCCCAGACTGGAACAACTCCTCCGCCAAAGGCATCGAACTGACGAATATTATGCTGAACAAATCGGGTTCCAGTTCTTCTATATACCCTCACACGAAGATCGTTCGCTGATAAGGTAAATCTAGACTCGTCAGTAAACAGTACTCAGGCCCATTCAGCAACTGTCCGGTTCAGGTGCTCTTCCAAATGCTAATTCGGCTTCTCGATGTTCCCGTGTGAGTCTTGGCCCAGTTGCTGCTCACCTTGGTCTCAACTGGTGTTCTCTTAACCTGTTCCTTACTGTTTGATCACTTATCCTAAGCTGGTGAGCTATTAAAATCTCATTTTGTAGGTTTCTGGCAGTATTTTAATTGTATATTAATATTTAATTTCTATCAGTAGTTTAATTGTATATATAAATTATATAAATCGGTCCTGGGCTGCTGTTTTAGCTTTGTTCTACCTTGACCATGACGTCTTTCATAATTGTGAGTTTCCCGGTAGCGTTTTAGTACTCTACTTTGATGATTGACAACATTAAGAATTTGTGCAATTCTACCTTGACTATACCCCTCGTTTGATAGCGTTACAGCGCAGCGGTTTGGGCTTCACCTTCTGTCAGATGTCTCGAAAAACGTATATTTTCATAATTCATCTTTCGAAAAGATCAAGTTTTAGTTTTATTTACAAAATGACCCAATAAACAGAAAGTGGATTGCCGATATGCACAAAAAATCTGTAACTTTCAATGATGGCAGAAACCAAACAATTGCGAACATAAACAAAACCGCCTACTGCATTTTTTATAAAAATATAGCTTTCCTTTCGGCTTTCGGGTATATGTATTAAAGAAGACATTTTTACTCTCATAAACATGAATATAAAATCTTCCTTCATTTAAAAGTATCTAATAATTACTTTCTTTTCAATATGAGATAATTATTTTGAGTAGGTAGTGTAAGTACACAACAACATAGATATCAATTTTTGGATTCCTCCTATAGCACGTTTTAAGCCAATTAACATAGGAAATGTATTCACACCCTAAATAGATTAAATTATAAATATTAATATTTATATCAATACGAATAAACCATATTTGCAAACATTAGATAAGATGATCTCTTGCGTTTAAAAAACGACCTTTTCCGTTCAGCGCAAAAATTGCATATCTGCTTGGAGTGCGACCATTAAACTGATAAAACCCTGCCGCCGCGACTCGCTTTTTCCCCAACTCGATATAAAACTTCCCGTTCGAGCCGCGCGCTATCAGGAATGACAGGCTTCAACGCCGTCATATTTATTCGGAGGGACAGAAAAAGAGCTCGCCAAACGCAAAAACAACCGAAATGATCCGAATGGCGGTTCCATCAATCCCGTTATTTATGCCCGTACGATTCCGAACTAACTACTTCATATTTTTCGGATCGGTATGCGAGCCTGTCGGACCTCCGCTCGTTCGGTTGCCCGTTTTTTTGTCCGTGTTTTGTACTTCTGGCATATAGCAGAACAAATTTTACGCTGTGTCTGAAAAAAAAGACAATCTAACCGAAATGTTCATAAAAATGCATTTTTTTACATTAACATGCTATACATGCTAAAAGGGGTGTGCGACAGGGTTGCATGCTGTCTCCACTCCTATTCAATTTGTACTCAGAAACTATTTTCCAAGAGGCCCTAGAGGACGTGGAAATGAGACTCAATTTTTTAAAATTTTTAACCCCCCATATCGTAATGCAAAACTAAAGTGTCAAAACGAATGACAATGTCAGGAAATAAATAAATAAATGTAACAACTTGACATTTTTGACAGCAGAGCTACCACCTGAATCTCCAGCGGGAAATTTAAATTCCAGTGATTAAACCCGGTGCCGAATATGCCCATGGTTGGCAACAATAAATTTAAAAATCGCGCCCTTCATTACGTAACTAAAAGTTTAATTGGCATCAAGAATATTTATATATTATAATGTTAGACATTCTAAATATATAGTATTTTTATATTTTATTAGTTAGGTAATTTAATTTTAAAACAACAGAGACGGCCATTTTGGCATCGACGAATTCGTGTGTTCTGAATAAATTACAGTTAATATTAATTTAACCTCTTGATTATTCATTGTATTGTTGTATAACAGTTGTCCAATCGGCCCACTGAATTTAAATGGAACCCCGCTGTTAATTATTAAAAGTACCGGGACACTACCAAACATTTCCTGTTACAGGCACTTCGCTGAATAGAAAATTACATATTTTCAGTTGTAGTAAACTATTAAAAGGTTTACAAACAAACAAGCCAAGCTACCTTCTGATGACGAGGCTTATTAATTTATTCTTAAAAAATAATTTTGTTACTAGGCTCTGTTTTGTTTTTAATTTTACATTTAATATCATTTTTACACAAAATATATATTTAGTAATACTTAAATAATTAAATCTCCAAACTATATATGGTTACACAGCGAAATAATGCAATATATCCTTCCTCCTTGACAAATCCATTTCAAAATTCTACCAAATGGGCCCATACCGTCATAAAACCTGACAACACAGGAAGCCATCCGAAACTTTATACTTATACAATTCTATTTGGGAACTTTTATGATTTAAGGAGGGTATTTAGCACATCTGTCGTTAATTCTTTAAATCTAAGAATTTATTTTCGTCAATAAACACTTGACTTAACTGCATCCGGATTTACGACTGATTGTAACTGAACAATGCTAGGGCTGAGAGCTAAGCAAATATACAGAGGTTGTTGAAA